CATAGATCTCAGATCAATGATCAGTATCAGGCTTCATGGTACAACCCTAGGGATGTCCCCAAAGATGGAAAATAAGATGAAAATGAGATGATCCTGATATGATGGTTCGTGCCTCCCACTATTATTCCCATTTTATGGAGGAAGAAAGAGGTGTACGGAGCTCTAAGCATCATGCCCAAAGAGCTTGGCAATGGTGCAGCTGGGACTTTACCAGGTCTAAGTGACCCCTGAACCTGCTACCCAGAGCCCTGACCCACCACTCCCCGCCGCCCGTGGGAACAGGGTAAGGATTCCGCACGCTCCTCTCTCGCAGGGCACAGGGTAAGATCGCGGGTGGCTGTCAGACACGGTGGGGCACTGCCTGTATGCAGGACAGAAAGCAGCTCTGGGAACACCATACTTCAGAGTTCTCAGCTGCGGTTCAGTGCTACTCTCTGAGGTGCCGAAGTGCCGGGGTTTGTTTCGAAACACTAATGTGTTTTGGAAAGGAGAAAGAATTTTTAAAGACAAGTCATCTCTTATTCTCTTTCTTCATTCACAGGGCCAGAAAAGTGGTATTTCTGGCATGGGCTAGAGGCAGAATACTCTATAAATACAAAGCCATTAAATCCCATGCAGTAGAAACCTGATCAGGGCCTCCTTTTAATTTCCTGACATGAGCTGGCCACTAACCCAATTACCCAGAGTCCCTGGAGGAGCCCTCCGCCTGCCCAACAATCACGAAGAGACAGCGAGCGCACACCGCATGGATGGCAGCCCGGCTCTCGCTGAAATCAAATATCTTTTACAAAACACTTGGGGAGCAGCAGGCCGGGGCTGAGGAGAGGGGGAGGAGGAGCAGCCCCAGAGGATGGTGGCTGCGGATGCCAGGAGAGGAGGAAGTGAAGTTTGCAGAACGAACTGATCAGGGAAAGTGGCTGAAATGCGGCACTATGCTGAAGACTTGGGGAGCACCCTGGGAAATACTACAAACAAGGTTTCCAGGCTTCCTCGGGATTGGAGGCTGAGTCAGTCCACACTCTAGCCAGGCTGTGAAGCTCAACCACCGGGGACCCTCCCATCCTGATTCTACAACCCAGAGAGGGGGCTAGTGCAAGACAGTATCACTACCTAAGATTCCAGCCAGCAAATCTAGGAAGAAAATCAAGGCAGCTGGAGACACGTTTCCACCACAGAACACAACAGGGAGAATACAGAAAAGCTGAGTGTGAATGAAGCTACCTTTTTTTCCTTCTCCCAGTTATGCGGTTGAACTCAGGGTCTCTGCACTGAGCTACATTCCCAGCCCTTATTATTTATTTAATTTTGAGACAGCATCTTGGAAGTTGCTTAGTTGCCCACGCTGGACTCAAACTTGATCCTCCTGCCTCAGCCTCCCACAGTGCTGCCGCTACCCTTGGCTGAAGCTACCTTTGAATCAAACACTGAATGTTTCCAGGAACTGATGTGTCAAAGCAATGCCAGGGCGGGTTCTGTCAGGACGAGTTGTCTCATCGGACGTTCACCTTTACCTGGTGATGGACGAGAGGTATCAACATCCCTGTTAGACAGGGAAAGAAGTGGAGGCCTGTGGGTGTGAGAAGCAGCACCCCACAGCAGAAGCACCTAGCACCGAAGAGAATGAAGGTCGCCAACTCCATCCCTGTTCAGATGTCTGTACTCAATTTTGCATATAAAGAGAGAAATTACTTTTTCCCCTGAAAACACAGATTTTCATACCCTGGATTTGCTTATGGATGGACAAGTCTGTTGTCCATATCCTGCTCTGGGAAGCCACAGAGGACCCAGGATCAGTCCCCACCCAGATGAGGAAGCTAACAAACTTACGTCCCTGAGACCTGAGAAGCCACACATCCGACCTTCACCCCAGTAACTGCTGGGGGCCCTAAATCACGCAAGAGTCTCCCAGATTATTTTACTAAACAAAGGAAAGTAATAGAGGCTGGGCATGGTGGTACATGCCTGTAACCCCAGCACTCAGGAGGCTGAGGCAGGAGGATCTGGGTTACCTCGGGATTTAAGGCCTACCTGGAATACACAGTGACACCGTTTCTTAAAAAAATAAGAGAAAGAGAGATTCTCAAGGTGCTGAACAGAAGAGGGAAGCACGTTTCGATGTGTGGATGACAGGGTCTCAGGAAGAGGGCAGGTGACACTCACAGTCCTCCTTCTCACTAAGACTTAGGGGCCCTGAATGCCCGGGGACCACTGTGGGACCCTATGGGAGGAGCAGCCCAGAGAAGGTGGGGGAAGGCAGACAGGCAGGCACCCGAGCTGTCCCAGGGCCCGGTCCTGCGTACAGAGCCAGGAGGAGCCCCAAACAAAGGCAGAGCCCTGCGGCTGCCAAGCTCTGGCTGGCAGGGACCCAGGCTCCTGAACAGGCCAGTCCCTGAGGAGCGTCAGATCCCAGATCTTGCCGAGGCTCAGCGGGCCGCTCACCAGAGGCATCTGCTTTACCCACATTCAGGAGCCTTTGTGTCATCTGTCCCCTCTTGGATTTGGGCCACTGGCACCCGAGGAAAATGTTCTGGTGACTGCCCCAGGCAGAGCTGCTACACAGGCCTCTTCAGGATCAGCACGTTTGCCCAGGAGACAGAATAACTGGGTGCCACCTTAGCTAGCAGGCGTGAACACAGGACAGCTTACGGCAGGGGCAGGGGTCGCCCAGGTCAGCCCCGACTCTGCCCGCTGTCAGTGCCACGCAGCATCCACTCTGCTTCTGTTGCAAATGTCATTCCTGGTGCCACAGTGCTGCTTGTCAGCTGGGCACTCAGACGCGCCCTCTCCTGCTGTGCATCCTTCCCACACGTGTCCCTCCTGGGGGGGGGCCACCAAAGCGTGTCCTCCTCTTTCCCAGCACTGGAGAGCCGCACCACAGCCCAGGGAGTGAGCGGGGCCCTCCCACTGACGACGCCCCAACGCCAGCCCCACGCCCCTTGGGCTGCTGTGTGGCCAGGAAGGCATCTCGCCCCAACTGCACAGGGCCCCTCTGTGTCACCCTTAAAATTCAGAGGTACAGTGATAATAGGCTTCCTTCTGCTCCAAGCTCCTCAGAGGCTGCACACATCAGCCAGGAGAAGCCTTGGACAGCTGGCCCCAGCCTGACCGCATCCTCACACGCACCCTGCAGAGCAAGGTGGCAGAGACGGAGCCCCCCAAGGAGCATCCGACGAGAGTGCTAAGGCTCGCCCCTACACACCCCGTGCTTGTTTCCTCATCCGGGACACTAGGAGGCTCTGAAGGAGCAAGAAGAGCCTAGCGTGGGAGCCAAGGAACCCACTTTAGCCACTAGCCGGCTCACAGCCTACGCGCCAGCACGATCGGAACTGTGGCAGTCAGCTAGGCACAGGGGCACGGGTCTGCAACCCCAGCATTCTGTGAGGCTGAAGGAGGAGGATCCCAAGTTTAACTTAGCCTGGGCAACTTGGTGACTTAGCAAGACCCTGTCTCAAAATAAAAAAAAAGGGCTGGAGAGGTAGCTCAGTTACATGAAAGCCCTGGATTCAATCTCCAGGACCACATACAAACACACACTCGCACTCCAGCTGCGAAGACACAAACGAGCCAACCCTGGGCTGGGCCGGGAGCTCAGTGGCAGGCTGCTTGCCTAGGAGGCTTGCGCTAGGCCTGAGTTCGGTCCGCATCACTGAGGGAGAGAGAAGATGAAGACCCAGCATTCAGTCCTTCAGCAGGTCCAACTCGGCTCAGCTCAACCTAGAGAGAGGGCCAAAGCAGTTGTCTCATGGTGTCTCCACCAAGACGGGGCTAAATTAAGTGACCAAGGAGATGCATTCTGAAAGCCGGTGTGCCACTGGGCGTGGTGGTGCACACCTGCGATCCCAGCACTCAGGAAGCTGAGGTGAGATCACCAAGAGTTTGAGGCCAGCCTGGGCTACACAGTGAGGGCAAGGCCAGCCTCAACTACATAATGAAACTCTGTCTCAATAAGCCAAATAAAAATAAAATTAAAAAGTAAAATAAAATAAAATCAAATCAAGGGCTAGGGATATAGCTCAGTGGCATAAGTGCCTGCCTGGCAAGCACAAGGTCCTGAGTTCGATTCCTGGTACCAAAATAAATAAATAAACGAACAAACAAACAAAATAAAATCCAGCATGCTATGTCATGAAAGGGTGACTCTGAACCTGCTTCAAGAGCTCTATAGGTGGAAGCCGGGTGTGGTGGCGCACACCTGTAATCCCAGCACTCGAGAGGTTGAGGCAGAAGGATCGTTGCGAGTTCGAGGCCAGCGTGGGCTACAAAGTGAGCTCAAGGCAGCCTGAACTGCACAGCAAGATCCTGTCTCAAAAAGACCAAAAAAAAAAGAGCTCTGCCGGTGTAGAGGGACCTAGAATGGAAACTGACATGGGGACCTCCAGTTCCCACGGCACAAAGTCCAACTCCTCCCACCACAGATGTATCGTTAATTCAGGCCTCTTCCCCAAAGGGTGCGCCTAAAGGCTGGCTGGGCTTCTGCAGACTCCCACAGTGGGGCTCCCCCTGGAAGCCAGAGAAAGGAGAAAACACACAACTACACTAACACCCCCAAAACAGCACTGAATAAAGTTCTTCAAACTGAGTAGTTCTGAGAAGGGGAAATGGAAAGCCAGGCATGGGGGCACATATCTAGTAATGCCAGCTGGGAGGCTGAGGCAGGAAGATGGCAAGTTTAAACCTAGACTTAGAAGAGTGGAGGGGATGGGAGGATAGGGAAGGAGAGAAGAGAAAAAGGGGAAGATGGAGGGGACCTACAGCAGCTGTCCTCATAATGAGCTACATACAGATCATCTCAAGTTTGCTAGGAGCCATACTAAGAAAAGTGAAAGTAGCATGTGCAGCGGTGGGCCGGAAGGTGGCGGGTAGGGAACGGGGAGATGCGGCACCCTGGAGAAAGATTAGCCCGGGACGCAGGGTGCAGGACGCATGCGCGTGCGTGCAGCCCCGAAGCCCTAGCTAGAGGGAGAGAAGCCAGGAGGCCGAGTGGCGCGCAGGGCTCTTACCTTCCTTCAGCATCCCCACTTTGAGGCATTTCATGAAGCGGCAGGCCTGGCAGGATTTGCGCCTCCGCTTCGTGATCTCGCACTCGTTGGTGGCCGGGCAGCTGTACTCGATGTTCCCTACAACCGGACAGAGAGAAGGGTGTCAGCAGCTCGGAACGGTTCAAGTCTTCCCTGCGAGGAGCCGCTTGGAAAAGTCTGTCTCCAGAAAACAGTCACTTCCGGTTAGAAAGCCACCATTGCTCGGGACAGTGCAACTCACTGAGCTGGCTTTTACCCCAGGAAGAGAGCAGCCCTTGTGCTGACCACACCATCCGCGCAGATCACCACCTCCAGCTCCTGCGAGGCCAGCCCCACCCCAGCTGGTCAAAGCCCCAGGGATGCTAAGCCCAGGTGTGAGGACCCCGGGGAGACCCAGGCCACCAGCGGTGCTCACTTTCTCACCAAGTCTGTTTCCTCAAGGGCAAAACAGTGGCAGCTGGCTCCTAACCAAAGGACTACGCAAGCCACTGTGTGGAAAGTTCCTTCAAAACACTGTGAACCCAGTGTGGTATGCACACCTGTAATTCCAGACACTTAGGAGGCTGAGGCAGGAGCATCACAAGTTGGAAGCTAGCCTGAGACCTGTGTCTCAAAATGAGACACAGGAAGAGTGAGACCCTGTCTCAAAATGAAAACTAAAAGGGGCTGGGGATATAGCTCAGAGGTAGAATGCTTGCCCAGCCATGTGCCAGGGCCTGGGCTGGAGCCCCAGCACCAAGGAAAAAAAAAATAAGCAGAAGTAAAGTGCCTGTCAACATGAGGTGGTTAATTTTATAATAAGCGCAGTTCATTGTGGGAGAGGGAATTTGTGATTCATTTTAAAACCACATCACCCTCAGGCGGGTTATAATACTCCTGCCATGGCCCCAGCCCCCGCTCCCAAGAGGCTGAGCCCCGAGAAGGCAGGGTTGGTGCTGCCCACCTCCTGAAGGAGCCAGATCAGGCACTGCCTGAACCACCGTGGTGCCAGCCAGCTCCTCACTGCAAGGTCAGGAAGCCTGTGGCCCACACTCCCGCAGTGGCAGTGTGGACACTAGGCTGAGGGAAGGCCGTGCTGACCTTCCTTCCAATGCTCCAGAGGCCCTTGCTGCCTTTTAGTGCCTCTTTTCCAAGATGGTTTTCAAACTGGGGCTGCCTTTCTATGCAGGGTGCAGCGCTCACCTTGTGTACCCTTTCCTATGACTTACCTAACGCGCATGCACTGGGTACCTGTAATGTGTCTGGTGCTGGGAAGAAAAGCAAAGGGCGGGAGGGGGGTCGGTCCTCCCACTGCAACTGCCCCCAGACACTCCCCTCTGGAAGAAGCAGGTGGCCTCCCTGTCCTTTGAACTCACCCACACTGTAACAGTTAACAGTCATGGTTTACTGTGCAGCTACTACGCACATATCCCTCCATCCTCATTGCAGCCCTGAGCTGGGCACATCGGGACCCCGTTTCACACACCGAGAAACTGAGGCTCACACCACTGAAGAGAGCTACCCAGAGCCCCTGTGCCATGCCTGCATCTCACGGAAATCAGAAGTGCACCCCCACCCCAAGAACAGGTCCCGGTGTCTAACCCAGCAGCTGAGGACATCTGGTGGCCAGGAGATCAGGCAGACACCCAAAGGTGTCCCCACCACATGGGATACAGAAACTGCTTTCTGCTGGGTTTTCTGGGAACAAGCACGAGCCATGTGCCACAAATGACAAAAAAACCAAGAGGGTGACGTCCCTGGACCCCGTCACCAATGCCTAATTGTATGGGGCACCCACCCTGGCGTCCTCACCCCAACATACTGGTGAGGAAACTGGCGCCCCAGAGCACCCTGGAGGTCCCTCTACCCTCTCTCTCTCCCATGGTACCCTTTCTCCCTGCCCCTCTCCGTAGGTCTTCCTCTCTGCGGGAGGATGGAAAGGATGAGGATGAGAAAGGTTAAAGGTGCTGTGCCACTCGCTCTTTTATCCAACTCTAACCATTTCTTTTTGTTGTTGTTTGTTTTTTCTTTTCTTTTTTTGGTACTAGGAATTGAACTCACGACCTCAGGCCTGCCAGGCAGGTGCTGCGCCGATGAGCTATATCCCCGGCCCTGTTTTCTGTCTTTTTGAAACAGGGTCTCACCATGCAGTTCAGGCTGGCCTTGAGCTCACTTGGTAGCCCAGGCTGGCCTCGAACTCACGATCCTCCTGCCTCAGCTTCCTGAGAGCTAAGCTGGGATTACAGGTGTGTGCCACCAAGCCCGGCTAATCATTTCTTAAGAACACTCACTTGTGTGGCTTCCTGGGAAATCATTTCAATACTAGCATAAGCATGGCGAAATGATCAACAGCAGAAGAGAGGAAAACACACACACATCCACTGACTGACCCACGTCTTCCCACTGGCTCAGAGGCACAACTGCATCCGGCCTGGCTCCACCCACCCCTCACTCTCCACTTCCAAGCTCCCGTCCTGATTCTGCAGTTATCAGTTCCTGGAACGCAGGCATCAGGGAGGATTTCGCTGCCCCAGCTGCGAACAAACCCATGAGGCTCCCTCGGCCGCAGACTGGGCCTGGCCACTTCTCCAGGTCCCTCTTGGAAGGTTCTCCTTCTCTGCTGACCAGCACTGATGTCCCCACGGTCTGTCTGTAACTGTCCATCTGAGCACCTGTGCATGGCTCAGTACCCACTGAGAGCTAATGGATTTGTGACCACAGCGGTCGTGCTTCACGTTTACATACTGGGTCAAACTTTGCCAACAACCCTGGAGGGAACCCTCTATTTCCCCTTCTTACAGATGATACAGGGGAGCAGAGGCCAGGCTGAGGGGCAGCTGAGGGGGGAGCCCAGCGGCTGGCTCCAGTGCCTGTCCCAGGCAGCCATTCAGTGGTCCCAGTGGGGCAGTAATGCGTGCCCCCTGGGATGCCTTCACACACAGCTGACCCCAGTGTCCTGCTCCCAGCTGCCCAGCACCAGCCATCGCTTGGGGGAGGACAGAGCCCAGGGCACAGCTCAGGGCAGGGACCAAGAGGGTGTGTGGCTGTGACCCTGAGGCTCCCACAACAAGAGGACCGAGTGCCGACAGCGAGTCACGAGCATGTTCTTGACCCTGTGTGTGGGGAGGGAGGATTCTAATTTTACTTACTTTTGTGCCTTTCAATTTGTCTTATGGCCCCTGCGGCTGGCTGCCAGCAAAACCACGCTGGTGGCCTGGCCTTGTAATTTCTGTAAGTGCCTCCTGATAAAGTGATGAGATTAATCCATCAGAATTCCTGCAGTCTCCAGGGGAGTCTAAGAGCGCTCAGGAAGAGAGAGATGTTAGGGGCACACGTGCATACTCCCCTCCCACCAACTAAAGTTTGGGGTAGCCTCTCAGAGGACTGGGACACAGCCCACGGCCAGGACTAATTCAGGGTTCTAACCTAGGATTGTGTCCAGTATAGACATGTGCTGACTCCAATTCAGGCATATAACCTCTCTGAGCCTCAGTTTCCCTACCCATAAAATGGGCATGTTCCCATCTCTTAAGGTTGTTCCCATCTCCTAAGATTCGGAGAGTGTGACAAGCGACAGGGTTAGTGGGTACCTCCCCTGTCTCAAGAAGCAAGGTTTACATCCAGGCAGAGCTGGAGGGCACAGGTAGCAGGCTCAGGCGGGGGCACACACTTGAGGTGTCCAATCCAAGACTACCACTCTGACTTTTAAGAATGTGAAAATCCACCTCCCGCAGCTGGGCCTCAGAGGCGAAGCTGCTGGGCCTGCGGGGCAGCCCTACGCCAGGCTCCGAGACGGAGGCTGCTGAGTTCGGACGCATGGCCCTCGGGGAGAAGTGGTGCTTCTGGCTGACCGCAGGGCCTGCGTGGTGGCCAGTCAGGGCTTCGAGGAAAGGGCTGGGCTGGAGGCCCCGGCTTTCACCCATCCTCTCACCCCGGAGGACTGACGGGCCCCTTTCACCGCACACAGCCAGTGTCCACTGCTCTCCGTCCTGCCCGCCTCCCTCCCCACAGCTGCATGATCTCATTCCCGGGCTGCTTCTACTCTGCTCTTGGGCGACGGGTCCCTCACTACGGCAGGACACACAGCCTTGCCGGGCTCCGACCCCACAGCCCCCTGCAGGCGGTGTTTTCACCTGGAGGTCCCTCAGGCTCCTGAGCCCTCTCAGGTCACACCCAGCCCCACGCGGTCCGCTGCTGTCTTCCTTGTTTCATAGACGGGACAACCAGCCACCCTGCCCGCTAAGTCAGAAACTGGCGCGGCATCCTGGCTTCTCCCCACTCTGAGGTCACTTCCTTGGTATTTCCTCCCTGCATCCCTGCTGCCCCAGCCAGACCCATCTGCCCTGGAGTCCTCTCCTCCTGCCTCCTTCCTACCCACCCTCCAACTGCCATTAGAGGGGCACCAGGGACCTGGGGCAGTAGGGAGGAAGCAGCCAGAGGGACCCTGGTTCATCACCACACACAGAACACACATCTTCCAGGCTTCCCAAGGCCTGCTAGAGAACAACAAAGGCACGAGAACCTTCCAGGCAGAAGCCATCTGAGTGTGGCCACACACACACCACTGACTCCAACTTCTCAGACGGCTGAAGCAGGATTGAGTTTGAGGCCAGCCTGGGCAACTACTCAAGACCCTGCCCCCCACCAATGAAAAAGGGCTGTAGTTACAGCTCACTGCTACAGCACTTTCTCAGCATGAACGTATGAGGCCTTGTGTTCAATCTTCAGCGCATACACACGGAAAGAGACAGAGATAGAGAGAGGGAGGGAGGAAAGGGAAGAAGGGAGGAAGAAAGGAAGGAAGAAGGGAGGAAGGAAGGAAGGAACAAAGGAAGGAAGAAAGGAGGGAGAGGGAGAGAGGAGGAGGGAGGGAGGAAGGAAAGAAAGAGACAGATTTCAAAAGAAAAGCCCAGGAACTACTCAGATTTTTTTTTTTTTTTAAATCAAAGACACGGGGCAATAGGCTAGGGAAGATGTGAGAATATGGAGACTGACCCTGTAAGTTGACCAGCCAACCACTAGGGGTTTTCTTGTGGTGCTGCAGTACTGGGGGCCGAACCCAGAGCCTTTCCACCGGGCTACAACCCCAGCCCTTTCTTACTTTTTAATTTTGAGAGCGG